CGACAATAATAACAACATACGATATGAAAGCCAATTGAGTTAAGGAAATAAAAATAGCACATACTTTTACAGGTAGACTAGATAGATAGATAGATAGATAGATAGATAGATAGATAGATAGATAGATAGATCTAGATAGATCGATAGATAGCTAGATAGATGATAGATAGTCTATAATAGATCGCTAGATCTAGCTATAGCTCGCTCGCTCGCTAGATCGCTCGCTCGATCATAGCTCTCGATAGTAGCTCGCTCGCTCGCTCGCTCGCTCGCTCTAGCTCGCTCGCTCGCGCTCGATCGCTCGCTGCTCGCTCGCTCGCTCGCTCTCGCTCGCTCGCTCGATCGCTCTCTCGCTCGCTCGCTCGCTCGCTCGCTTCGCTCGCTCTCGCTCGCTAGCTCGCTCGCTCGCTCGCTCGCTCGCTCGCTCGCTCGCTCGCTCGCTCGCTCGCTCGCTCGCTCGCTCGCTCGCTCGCTCGCCTCGCTCGCTCGCTCGCTCGCTCGCTCGCTCGCTCGCTGCTCGCTCGCTCGCTCGCTCGCTCGCTCGCTCGCTCGCTCGCTCGCTCGCTCGCTGCTCTCGCTCGCTCTCTCGCTCTCTCGCTCGCTCGCTCGCTCTCTCGCTCGCTCGCTCGCTCGCTCGCTCGCTCGCTCGCTCGCTCGCTCGCTCGCTCGCTCGCTCGCTCTGTCTCGCTCGCTCGCTCGCTCGCTCGCGCGCTCGCTCGCTCGCTCGCTCGCTCGCTCGCTCGCTCGCTCGCTCGCTCGCTCGCTGCTCGCTCGCTGCTCGCTCGCTCGCTCGCTCGCTCGCTCGTTCGTTCGTCCGTTCCCTTTCCCTTCCTTCCTGCTCCCCTTCTCCCCCCCCCTGTTCTCCCTCCCCCCCCCCCTTCCTTTTTTTCTCCCCTTCCCTGCCTAAAAAAAAAAGACCGACATGTTAAAGAAGAAACAAAATGGTTTACAAAACTTTAACAAAACAAAAAAAAATGGCAAAATTGTATTGTATATTTTTACATTCATTTAATTTAAACTTTTTTCTTAACTATTTGTGTGAATATTTATTTCAATTTATTTTACTTCTGATGTCATTAGCAGCAGCTACATTTATTTATTTATTTATTTATTTACAACATAAAGGGGTTGGTTATATGTGGAATATTTAATAAATTTATGTTAAATTTCTTGTTTTAATTAAGCTTTACTTATTTTAAGTTATAGCGAAAAATTTACATTTTTTAATTTTAATCAAATAAATTAAGCTTTTAATGATGAGTCAGTCAAGACAGAGCCAATGTCTTGAATTGAAATGTCTTACTTTTGCTAAAAAATAATAATATATTGTTTATAAATTGCTTGATTTTCTGCTTATTTAATGAATAAATGGGTAATAATATGAAAAAAGGGCTCCTTTATGAAGAGTTATAAATAAACTAGACATGATTGAACCCTAAATTTTCTTTTAGTATTATTTTATATTACATATGTCAGAGATAAGCAAAATGGTCACTGCATATATTATGTTATGTCTAATGTGAGAATCGTTTGCTACTTAGCCCTTTAAGGGTTTATAAGTATCTATTTAGATCTCTATATAATTTATAGTTTCTTGTACTAATATATTTTTTTTAATATATTCTTTTCATTTTAGATCTTATACTAGATTATTGCCAAAAATTAATAGAAAATTTGGTTATCCCTGGGAAATGATGCCACTTATGTATGTGATACTTAAGGATGCTGGTGTAGATATCGATGAGGCTTCAAAACGTATTGAAGAAGGTAAGTTAAAGTTGTTTTAAAATAATATACTATATAACAAATATCAGTGTTTTCTGAAGTTTTTGAAAAAAAAAAATCTTAAACAAAAAATATAATGAAATAAATGAAATATGTGGCAATATTTTTGTTTTGAAGAAAAAATTTACAAATTATTGTAAATATTGGAATTTGTATGTATGTATTATTTTGGTTTATAGGCATACAAGTCTTAAAACAATACAATTTAAATATTTACGATGGTAATGAGTTACGTAAGCTCAAAACTGAAAGGCGTTACGAAAACCATCTTGCCCGATCTGAATGTGATGAAACTATCAAACAAATAAGACTAAAGGAGGGTAAGCATTATTACTTTAATTTATAATAAGTTTAAGTATGTATTTTATAGTAAAATTAGGGTTTTACAGAAAACACTGAAAACATTTAATTTAGGTTTAAATTTGCTCAAACATTTAATTTTGCCAAATAACAACAAATTTTCTGTTTTTATTTGATTAAACAAATTTTTAGGACAACATGTTGTTAATGAATATTCACGTCAACATAATTTAAATATATATGATGGGTGTGAATTACGTTGTGCCACTCGGCAATGCGGTTGATAAACTTAAATAAAGTTTTAAAACCATTTGCACCCATTTTAATATAAAGTGTTTTTCTTAAATATTAAAAAGTTAAATATAAAGTAATTGTTAAATACTATTAAACAAATTGTACAAAGAATTAAAAAAAAAAATAAACTTTGTTGAAACATATTAAAGGTGCTTTAACATTTTTTCTTAAAATAACTTCAATATCATTAAAATAAAACTATATAACGAGCTTATAACAGTCTGGCAACTATAAAAGAAATTTATATTAGTAAAAATATAAACTTAAAGACACTTCTTAAAATAGTTAAAATAATTCTTAATTAAAAAAAAAAACAAGTGTTAAACTAATTAAAATTAAACCACAATCAACATACCAAAAGTTAATGTAACAATTACATTGTTTTAAACAAACTCAACTCAGCAATCAACATACTAAAATGGAAACCTTGGTAACTATAACAACTGTATACTATTTATGGCAAACTAAACCAATAGCAACCTATAGATTTGTTAAATTAATTATTTAACAAATTTTTTTTCCGGCAATTCAACAATCAACATACTATTATAAAATATTTGTTGGCGTTAATTTAATTACAACAATCAACATACTCTTACAATTAAATTGTTTAATTGCAACAATCAACATAACATTTTCTTTGAAAGTCTTCTGGCAACTATCAATCTATCTTCAATCAACATACTTTTTTTTTTTGGTTTACTTTATGGAAAATCAATTTATTGAATATACCTGGATCTTCAATCAACATACCAAAAGTTTTTGGAAACAATCTTCAATCAACATACGAGTACGATTAATTATAAGAATTTATATATTAGTTTCTATTCAAATGTTTAATTTTAAGTTTATGTTAAAAGTTAATTAACGAATTTTATTGTTTTAAATTATTAAACGGAAACTAGTGATATTACTCGAATTTTCGGTGTAATTTTAAATTGTTGATGAACTTAAGAATGTTGCTACACAATTTTTGATAAAGATATGTTTGGGAATATCGAAATATTGGTCGAAACACATGCGCCTTTTGATTCTAACAGCATTAAGCCGTAAATGTCTATCTGTTGGCAACTCGCTAGAGTCCAAATAGTAAAATCTAGAGGTCTAAAGTTTACCACAAATATTCTCAATAGTCGATTTATAGTTTACAGACTACAGATGTGTTTATGGTCCAGACTATAGGAGAGTTTATAGTGTGGACTATAGACGAGTTTTTAGTTTAGACTATAGACAATTTTATAATCTAAATAATCAATGAATTTAAAGTCTAGATTATAGACTAGCTTATAATGCAGTTGATAATTTAGACTATCAACTGATAGTTTAGAATATAGGCGTGCTTATAGTCTAGAGTCTAAACTATATACATTATTCCAGTCCAGATTATAGACAAGTTTATAGTCTAGACTATAGATAAGATTATAGTCTGGACTATAGACAAGTTTCTAGACTATCAACTGATAGTTTAGACTATATGCATGCTTATGGTCTAGACTATAGACATATTAATATTCAAAACTAGTTCAGACTGTGGGACTATGTTATAGTCTATAGGAGTTTATAGAGTAGAATAGTGTGGACTATAGACGAATTTATAGTCTAGATTATAGACAAATTTATAATCTAAATATAAATGAATTTAACGTCTAGATTATAGACTAGCTTATAATGCAGTTGATAATTTAGACTATCAACTGATAGTTTAGAAAATAGGCGTGCTTTTAGTCTTGACATATTTATATTCAAAACTGTTTATTACATTCTATTACAGTTTAATCCAGACTATAGACGAGCTGAAAGTTCAGACTACGGGACCAGGTTAGGAGTTTATAGTCTAGACTAGTGACGAGTTTATAGCCCAGACTATAGACAAGTTATTATAACAAACTATTTATAGTTTATAGCCAAAACTATGTAAGAGTTTTTAGTCTAGAGTTTATAGTCCAGATTATAGAAAAGTTTATAGTCTAGACTATAAATAGATTATAGTCTGGACTATAGACAGTTTCTAGACTATCAGCTGATAGTTGCATGCATATATGCTTATAGTCTAGACTATAGACATATTTATATTCAAACTAGTTCAGACTGCGGACTATGTTATGTCTATAGGAGTTTTATAGACTAGAATAGTGACGAGTTTATAGTCCAGACTATATACATATTTTATATAGTTTTATATACCGAACTATTTATAGTCTAAACAATAGACAAGTTTATAGCCAAAACTATATAAGAGTTTATAGTCTAGATTATAGACGAGTTTATAGCAAAAACTATATGAGAATTGAAATACTAGACTATATAGTGTATATTCTAGACTATAGAGTTTATAGTCAGATTATATGACTAGTTTATAGTCTAGACTCTAGAGTTTATAGTCCAGATTATAGACTAGTTTATAGTCTAGACTCTAGACTATAGATAAGATTATAGTTTGGACTATAGGCAAGTTATAGATTATACATTATAGACTAATTTAAGTTTTATATTATAGATCAGTTTGTAGTCTAGACTACAGACAGATTTGTAGTGTAGACTGTAGATGAGTTCATAGTTAATCTAGAGTATAGACGAGTTAATAGTCTAGATTATAGGCTAGCTTATAACGCAGGCTATAGACGAGTTGATAGTTTATCCCAGTTTAATCCACGAAAGCTTAGACTGCGGGTCTGATACGAGTTTATATCCCCGACTATGGGCAAGTTTATATACTAAACTATTTATAGTTTATAGCCCTGATTATTGTCTAGTTTATAACTTAGAATACGTATGAGTTTATAGTCAAAACAATAGATGAATATATATTCTAAATTATGGACTATTTTATAGCCAACAATATAAGATTTTATACTCTAGACTATAGACGAGTTTATAGACGAGTATATAGTTTATAGATTATAGACTAGTTTCTATTTTTTGGTTATATATGAGCTTTTAGTCTCTACTGTAAATAATATTATAGTCCGGACTATAGACAAGTTTCTAGATTACAGATTAGTTTAAGGTTTACGTTATAGATGAGTTTATAGTCTAGACTACAGACAACGAAGGAGTATATACTTAGTCTAGCATATAAACGAGTTTTAAGTCTACACTATAGATGAGTTTATAGTCAGGGCAGGAGATACTTGAGTGAATACGCAGATTATAACACAGTCCGACAAACCGGTCAAAACCCTGACACGTTGTATCAAGTTTTAGGTGATGATATTTCAAAGAAGAAGGGAGATATGTCAGATGTTAAGCTTTTTTTTTAAAGCTTAACAGAATGGACATGCAAATGGCATACATCATTTTATTTTGCGAAGTTATAGGTCTCAAAAAGGAACAACAAGGCGTATTTTAAACTCCAGGACACGATATTTCGAATAACAGAAATTTTCTAATTTTATATTGTTCACTACTTTAGAGATTAAATATAACTCCTAAAAAATCTGTTCGTCCAACTTTTTGGATGGTTTCACAAAAGCTAAGCCAATTCACCCAAATCGTTCGATTCAACATTCTAAGTTCTCAACTATAAAAACAGGCAGCAAAAATTTTAAATAAAGTTTTATTATTGATTTTTCTGTGTATATTGTAATATTTCAGTTTATTGTAAATATATCTTTAAAATTAAGTAAAAATTATACATAGTTTTTTAATATAAAATAGTTTATAATTTATTTTTAGAATTTTAGAAGTTTTAAGGGTAGAGTACTTAATAACTTTGGAAAAATGTGGCCAAAAAGGCTAAAATTTTATAATAAAAGAAAACAAATCTTTAAAACTAGATTCTTAAAAAAGCTTTGAAAGTTATTGTGTAATAAAAATCGTAACGAAATCTTAATTCTATTGAAAGCTCGATCGTTAACGAAATTAATTCTAATTACAGCTACAAAAGTTTTGGAACTAAATTCTGTTTAAGCTTAGAACAAATTTGACAAAATGAAAGGAATATATTAATATAAAAGCGAATTTCTATAATACTTTTGAGCGAAATTTCATTTTCGGAATTTTTTCGTTTAACACATATTTCGTCAAGGTTTCGCTGTAAATTTAACGGAACATTGATGGCATTATATTTTCTATATAATTTAATATAATGACATGACACATTTTCTAAATGTTTAACTATTAAGAATTAAATACGAAAAAATAAAACTATTTAAGATAAATTGGCTGCTGATCTAATGGCTATAAAGAATTTGAAAATCTCATTTTTATGTTTATTTTTCAAATACCAAAAAAACTGTGTTATTTGCAAATTTTCTTTCAATTAGTTAATAAAATTAAGCTAATTTAAAAAAACTAATATAAAATGTTTAAAGTTTATCATAAATTTAGCGCATACTATTGTTTTAAGACAACAACAAAAATAAATAAGAAAATAAATTTAAAAAATATGCAAAATATTTATTAATAAATTAAAATTTATAATAACAGCAAATAAAAACAACAGAATTAATTAATTCAAAAAACTGTATATTAAACATAAAAAGAAAAACCAAATAAATTTAACAAAATAAAAAACCTTAAAACATTTGGTATGCTTAAGTATTTAATAAAAATTTAAACGATTAATAAAAAAAATAAAAAAATATTAAAACCTAAAATTTACATAATAATAAATCATAAATGTTAAAAAAAAATTGAAAACCCTAAGATTTTATTAATAGATTAAATAATTGTTAAAGGGTAAATTAGCAATTGTTTAATGAACAACAATTAAAATAAGATTTAT